ATGATGCTTTCAATCTAGATCGAAACTAGTCTACTTACTAATGTAAGATCTTTGGAAAATTGTTGTTTCAAGGATGATACATCAATAACAATGAAAAGTTAGTTATAGATTCACAGAAAGCATCTGAAAAAAAATCAATCTCTAAAACAGATAAAAATGATCGAATAAGTTTATCTAGAAAATTCCACAATGATTCAGTATGGAATATTGTTTTTGTAAAAATTGTCCGCAAAGTTTGTCTGATGCATTAAGCTAAGCATTGTAGTGAAAGATAGGATGAGATATGAAAGTGATTTTTTTACATCAGATTCTTGATTGAATATATTGGTATGAAAGAAGCCTATTTAGATTTAGAATACAGAGTAATTGTCAGTGGCCTCATGTCATGATGAACCTATGACTTGTATTTTTTTAAATTTCCAAGATTGCTTAGACTTTATTATGATTATGCCATTCATAATAACCATATTTTCAAGGATTCATCGATGCATTGTATTAAATAATTGATTTCTAAATAAGAATATTTGAAATCAAAAAGAACAAACGACTTTATAATACAACGGAGATTATGTTTCTCATTGAAGTGTATTTATGTTTAACAATGTCTGTAATGATGAGACTAGTTTTTAATATATTTAAAAGCATAGCCATGAATTAAAATAGAATCTTTCTATATTTAGACTGAGTTATAGACGAGCGTGCCCATGTTAAGGTGATATTAAGTTAAAAACACTCGACTTTCTTTCATCGTATAACCTCTTACAATGTCATTCGTTTTGTCATAGTTTTTAATTATAAGTTCTACAAGTTATTGTGTTCTGACTAGTTTATTTATCAATGCAAAGCGCAACTGTGTAGCTCCAGAGAAACCTTGATTGCAGTTCCACTGAACGATATTATTTTATTATACATTAGATTCACCTAGAATCAAGTAATGAGTCAATTTTTGAAGACAAAATATTCATCGTCGTCATTACTTGTGAAGGACAGAAAAAAAATCTAAATTTTACGAACTAGACTATAAATGATGGACCATTACGCTAAAATATATCATTTTCTTGATTATCGCTTCAACGCATCAAGAACAACGTTAACTTTTTTAAACAGTTTAAACGATAATAGCAATAATATGGGAAGGGGGGGGGGGCGGGCGAAGGTTTTGCACAAAATCAAAAGTTCATGTTATATAGTTTGAAAGAGAATGAAAGTCCAAGTAACTAGGAATTACAAAGAATCTAATTGAAATACTACTAGGAAAGAATATGCTTACATTCACCAGGAAATTGGACAATGTCCGATTTTCACTAGAATTTCAAATATTGCCCAAATTTCACTGGAAGTTGTACAATGTTGTCGATTTTCCGCAATTGTTCAAACTCTGTGGGAATTTCGACAATTTGAAAAACAGCAGAAACTAATATATTTGGTTGAAACACACATTCCCGTCATTTATCGGTTAATAAAAAGCTCAGAATGTAGGGGTTTGCAGTGTTAACCAAATTGATTGATCTTGCTCGAATCAAATGATCACTTTTGCTGAAACCGAGAAAATAATCATTTAAAGTATTAACTTTTTATGGTACACCTGAGGACACAGCTTTGACTTTCTTAGTGAATTTTCTCTACACAATTCCACGCTCTCAGCAAAATTATATTTTCGAATTTTGACCTAAAACTTTTTGTTAACATAAAGACCTCGCCAAGAGTAGCTTATACGTATAAAATTCAGAATGTTCGCACCCACCCTCTCCAAAGTATGGATCCCTCAAGATATTAGCGCTTTTCAATAGAAGTAATATATTTTGAAAGGCTCGTACTTTGGTTTGGAGAGTGTGTGTGCGAAAATTCTGAATTTTATTTCTGTAAGCTACGTTTGCCGAGGTCTTCATGTATACAAATTTTTAGATCGAAATTCGAAAATATGATTTTTCTGAGAAAGTGGAATTGCATAGAGAAAATTCACTAAGAAATTCAAAGCAGTGTCCCCAGTTGTACCATAAAAAGTTAATACTTTAAATGATTAGTTTCTCGGTTTCAGTGAAAGTGATCGTTTGATCCGAGCAAGATCAATCAATTTGGTTAACACTGCAACTCCTTACATTGCAAGAATAGTGTACTGTGAAAATGTCGACGCAAGAAAATATAGAAAAGCAATGATGTCTGCAGTAAATAGCGGTTTAATCTCGCATTGTGCATTGTTGTTTTTCTCATACTTCTGCTAGGGATAGAATTTTAACCAGTAGTATGACGATAATTAATAAGTGGTATGCATTAAATAATCGAGTTGAGCAAAACATTATTATAAAACTAAAATTCTATGGCCATGGCTGACGTAGATGAATATTCCAAGTGATACGACTAGGATATGCGGGTAGGTATAACCATTGCCGTTCATAACACCCGTACCCTCAAAATGTAATACTTAAGAATATTTCTATAGTAACTCTTAGCTTTGTATTAACCGATAAATGAAGGGGAATGTGTGTTTCAACCAAATATATTAGTTTCTACTATTTTTCAAATTGTCGAAATTCCCGACGGGATTTGTACAATATTCGAAATTCTAGTGGAAATCGGACATAGCCCAATTTCTTACTATCCAAATTCCACTAAAACCTATTCATCAGTTCATTAGTTAGATTCAAAAGATAATCACATATTTTAAGTCCAATATACACAGATGAATGATTGCATGATCTGCTACAAATCATTATTATTACAAATGGTTGTCTTTTCACGAGTAAATTCCTACTCTAACAAATCGTACTGTATTTTAATAATATACCATCACTAGATATACATTGTTGTTTTAATTGCATCTTTCAAACTAAAAAATATGAATTTTTAATTTCGTGCGCTAGATTCCTAGACTCAGCTAATAGAACGAACGAAGAAATATGAATATCGATTTTTACAATTATTGAAATATAGTCATACACCGATGAAATACTGCAACAATGCTCTCTATTCACGAGTAGACTGTTCTAATTCGAGATATGCTTACGGAGAAAATCAGCAATGAAACAGAAAACCAATATCACTGGATTCTTTCTTCGATTATTCAATCGCTCTGAATTGATTTTACTGATATTATTTTAGGTGAACCTAAGAAATAAAAAATCCATTAATTGCACATTGTATTATAAAAGTCAATTATTGATAGCGTGTTCGTGAGAAAAGCAATAGGAGTATGGTAATGAAAATTATTTATGCTTACTTTGTTCCGTTACAATGGCGATCAATACGTCAAGGAGGCCATTCATTTGTAACACGCTGTTGTATTGTGCTTGAATACAAAGCATACACTATTGTTTTTCACGTGCATGTTTGAGAAATGTTTTGTTGGTGTCAAATTTTATAATAAAAATACCTTTTTTTCTCTCTTGTTAATTCACGCTATTCTGACATTGAGTATACATAATCTAATGAATAAGTTTTACGTTCCAAGATTTAGGTGACCGAAAAATATGTTTTTTTTTGCTTGTTGTCTTAAGATACGAGGCACTGTCAGTGAAGTTAGATGCATCTTTCTTTTTAGAGAATGTATTCGCCGATGAGTGCGAACTCAAATTAAATTAAGAGATTCTCTCACTATAGGCAATGCTACACACATTAGCATGATTTTATTTTTGATGTCTATGCGTATAGCAACAAAACAGAAATTTTCTTATATATCACAAGATCTACTACAGATAAACTGTGTTCTATGCAACATATACAGTTATGATTCAATCATTTTTCATTTTTCGCTCATAGGTTTTTGTATCCTATATCTTTATTATATCATTTTCGATGAATTATCTATTGGTCTATGAATGCTCTCAGCCGAATTGCACGAAGAAAAAACTACCCATACGACAATTGAATAGCAATGCATTTTATGTCTAAATTCTATAGATTGATGCGGTCTTGCAAATTATGATTGTTGACGACACCTTGAATTGTAAAACAATTTGATTGTCCAGGGTAATGAGCGTAGAAAATTGGCCTAGTCGGAAAAGATATGGGTGGCAACTTGACTCGATATACTATTATAACAAATCAAGGAATTTCTTATAGAATTAATTTCCTGATCATGTACTAGCCGGAATTTGAATGGTTTTCTGTATATACTGTGCAAAATATCTGAATTGAGACTATCCCGGAAACCGTTCAAAATAGATTTTCAGCTTAGGGAAGGAATCAGACACTTATGTAGATCTCGACTTATTTCAGATTCTAACATCCTTGTGAATCTTAAAGCACTTTCAAAAGTCGGAAATGGCCTAAATAGATTCCGTAACTCTTTTCATTTCCGGAAATGCCTCTGGAGTTTTTAATAATCCAAATATTTATTTCATACTTGTAAAAGCTTAAAAATAGATCATGAACATTGTGCCAGAAATTCTCATGTCATCACAATGTTTGTGCATTCAATTTTTCTATTTCCTAGGCTAAAACGTGGATGTCTTTTTGAAGAACATATTATTTTAAATATTTTTCTCATTATGTAAACGATCTTGGAATAATATACGTCTCCGTAGGTTATAATGAATGAGACGTTCGATTTAATTATTTATTTTTTGATAAAACTAATTCATTCTCCCTACGCAATAACACTCAAACATTTTTCCAATGCTTAAAAGTACTCAACAAAATATCGTGTTGCCTGATTCACGTCATTAGTAATAGCGAACTTTTACGAGTGTAATTCAATTTTGTACGGTTTTCACTTCTGCTTTTTTAAAGCACAACATTAATAAATCATAAAAATACTTTGCCATCTGTATTTACCAGCTTCTATAATTAGATAAGACTTGACTGTAAATGCTAATGTCATTGTCATTGTAGCATTTAGAAAACATGAACGACAATCTATCTTCGCCTAAACTTTGATCGGATAATCTTATGAGTAGTAAGAAACTGTCTTTTATTTTAATTCTTAGCCATTCGTTTTATTAAAAGTTTATATTGAAAGACGAATGCTGAAATATGTTTACAGAAGAATAAAAATTTGATAATCAACTCAATAAACAACACGATGGCGGAGTTTTTATATTTTTATCTCGTGCTGATGAATTATTTTTCGATTCTGCTAGAAAATTCATTGAGAAAAAGTCATTTTGAATCCAAAACAATTTGTTAATTGCAAGTATCATAGCACGCTTGGTTATTTCATCGAGATTTTCTGCATTCAGTATAATCTCTATTAATGAACTTTCTAAATAACCAAGTAAAGCATTTATATGGATATAATCAACATTAATTGACGTTAAACCAGCTTGATTTGTGTGTATGCGTCCAATTTGAAAAAGATATTGAAGAAATGTATCATTCCATTCTTTTTCTGTAAATATACGTTTTAAATACTTACTTAACATATCCTTACGAAATGTCATTTGTGCAGATTCTAATGTTAAATTTTTTTCATGACTTGTCGACGAATGGTCAAAATCATGATTACGCATAATAAAATAATGTTTTGTTATATCGAACGAAAATAATTTTCTATAAACAGTATCTGTAATAACGGGAATACGGGGAGAGAGTATTAATGCAAAATCATTAAGCATAGTTATATCATCGGATGTAAAGCTTAAAAATTTCGATAAATATTCGAACCGATAACGAACATCATCATTAAGTTGGTTGCTGTCTACATGTTCGGCCATTGTGCGATCATATATGCAAGCACTGTCGTGTGAGTTGTGTTGTTAACTTTTGCTATTTCCTGACTATTTTTCTTCGCTTTTTGTTGTTCTGTTCTTCTCAGATTAAAATAAGCCAATCTGGTTAGATAATATTATTACCATTCGAAACACGACATTCTATTCTTTCTTTTTTTTATTTTATATAAACGTAATATGTGACCTAATAAACAACAATCAAGCTACTTGTTCGTCACTTCCATTTCCGTTCAAGAAACAATATCATCTCTTTTCATGACAAAGACTAATAATGCCCCATTCTGTTGTAAAGCGAATTCTTTTTATAGGATATGGCAAAAAGAAACTCATTGTAGCCTATTCTTGCACCCAGCAAGAAGAAGAAAGAAATTCTTAATCAGTAACAAATATTCGCAGACATATTGAGTTTCTGACTTAAAATCTGTTCTATTTTTTTTTATGCGAAAAATCCATCATTGATAACTAACGTAGAAGATCAGTTCTATGAATTGAAGAGATTTATGCTTATGAGAGATACGATCGAGAAATATTTTATAGGAGTCAAAAATTCGATTCTCTTATATATTTTGATTTGTAGAAATTAATTGACAATGAAGTTTTGAAGGCCAACGTGTTATCCAATATATGTAAAACATTCAAATCAATGCGCGTAGCTAAAAGAAAATGCGAGTTTTCATTTGTATGGGTATGTTTTTCCTTTTAACAGGTCCCCGAGCGACCTAAGGAAGATGAAGAGACCACGATCCTTCTGTCTCAATAGTGAAAAGTTATTATTATTTATGGCCAACTAAATCAGAATCCATTTTCCTTTGGATACTGTCAAAAGAAAGCTAACATTTTCTTAAAAATAACAAAATCCTCAATTCTAGTTCAATAATCGACCGGTTCTATCCAACACTCAATAAATATCAGATTTTTCTCAAACAAAAATCAACTTATCTATCTCACGATAGATTTTGTCTATTTTTATAACATTTCTTTTCTTCCTATTAATTTATAATTTTTGTTTATCAAGAATAAATATCTTTTAATTATCATAGATGAATGAATTTTGAATTGCAAATAAGAGAAAATGTTATTTCTGTTTGCTGCTATTTTTACAAATTTCATGTAAGAAAATTATGCACGGGGGTTAGAAAATATTCTTCAGAAAACTCAAATTTTGCCTTTAAGATCGATGTTCTATAAATAACTCAAATATAAAATCCTTGAGCACAACAACATAAAAAATTTATCTTTAATCCTGTAGAAATTGTTAATGCTATAAAATCAATGCGATAATCAAAATCTATGTTTTCTTTACTGTTAGTTTTCATCATAACAACAACATCAACAGCACATAGTTTCGGTCTGCTTAAAATATAAGTAATTCGATAATACATCAAATCGGTCGTTCGAAGAAAAGTCAATTATCAACGATTAAAAAGACGAATCCCCCAGACAGTATTTCTTTTGCATTTTTCATTCAAATTACGACAAATGATTCGAAGAATAGGAACATAAGATAAAATAATTTTCCTTTTGAAACGCAACTAGACTAAAAGAAATCAAGATTTCTATGTCGCAAGGACTTTATTTTTTATTTCTAAAAAGCGTTGAACTAATTGACGCGACATTTCACTCTTGCAAGCATTTTAAATTTCAAGAATCGAATTCCCATCATTTACTATAAGTAAATATTTGTCTGCTTAAAACGATATTGTTATTTTGTAGATATATTCTGGCATTCTTTAAATGAATACATCTCATCAATTGGAAGGAGAAAAACCAAGAATGTTTCATTGCGCAGAAACAATACTGATTTATGAAGTATGTATTTCAAGATAGATGCAACAGACAAAAAGACCAAGTATTCAGGTTCTAATGATTAATGTAACATAGGAGCAATGTTGTCATCATTATACAGAACAAGAAAGCAATTTTTATAGTGGAGAATTCATAAAATATTCCTAAACCATCGAATCGCTATTATTAAAATAAAGGAAATCAAATTATTCTATGTAGCCGATTATTTTATCTTTAGTTACATATTTGCTTCATTGAATATTGATAAAATTCAATGTGAAAACATAACAAACTCGATGTGCAATAACTGCAATCGTATAATGTTATGCTTATTTATTATCCTGATAAATAAATAGAAAAAACTGTCCTTGAACTAGTTGAATGACATTTCTAATCGATCAAATATAGCCAAATGACGTTATTTCACTAATTATTATGTCTCGAACATAAATAATGAGCTTCACACTTAGTGTTTATAAAATACTGCCTAGAAGTAAAAACACTTTTTTTGTCACGATTAATGCATTGGGATGAATATCAATCATATGTTTTGTTTATTTGAAGTAAATTTATGAAGAAAACAAAACTGTTGCTCTGTTTTTTGTGTACTCAAAAAGTGAGTACACTCTAGAATCGGTCAGTGTGTCCGGCCGTCCGTTCGGTCGTAGGCACGATAACTTGCGAAAGGAGAGTCAGACCGTGATGAAATTTTCCACATAGTTCAATCTCATGAATATCTCGGTCGAGTTCGAAGATGAGAAGAATCCCTCAAGAAATGGTTGAGTTATCGAAAAAATTGTCATTNGAAAAACGTCTCAAAATGCACAAAAACTGCATCCAGAAATCAAATTGCCTAGTTTCTCATGATAATTTTGGTGTTCAGACATTCTAGAATGACTCATACATCCCATGCACTTTTTGCAGTACACATAACTTTCGGATGAAATCCGAAGTTTCCACATTTATTTCATTATATAAATTATTTTTAACTATGCTAATTGCTTTGATCAAAGTCTACAGCTTTTTTAATGAAGTGCTTGAATACTTTTCAAGTAGTCTGCTATATACGGATATCATAACAAAACACATTTTGAAACCTATAGATTCATTCGTAAGATATGGTTTTTACACCAGAAACAAAATTTTAGTAATAAATGTGGCTTGATTCATATATTACTAGAAGGATGAATACCTACGAATCAAGAAAAGAAAATTAATCCGTTCTTTTTTATTTATCTTGGATATATAAAACAAAATTCAATTAAAACTCATTTTTTTTATTTAAATATGAGGAACACTTTATTTAAGAAAACAATGATGAAAAAGAAGTTGAAGTATGAGAAAGAAATTCTTGAGAACTAAAAGCCCACATTTACAATTTTTATTCTCAAGTGGTGAGATGCTGAAGTACCCTGTTATAGTCCTACTGTGAACGTATGCAAGATAAATATGACAAATTCTATAGGTAGTAAAACGTAAGCCTGTATTTTGATGTCTTACGGCGTTGAACTAATTAATGTCGTTCAACAAATGAAAAATAAAGGACAAAAGAAGCGAAAAATGTTTTAGCTTATACTCAATAGCTCTTCTTCTCAAAGCATTGTTCGTGATGTGCTCGATGAATACTTATTTCTTTGTATAACATATAGAATGTGTATGATAAAGAAATAACGACTCATTAAGCAGCACTTATCGTAAAGTAAGGATAAAGATTGAAACATGAGAAAGGCGTATAGTAATTTATATATAATTATATATATATTCCGAAGGAGAATCTATCGGACGATTTAGCAAAAATATTGCTTTCAATAAAAAAAAGAAACTTATGGTTTACACAATAGGAAAACTATTAAAATATTTCAAAAGATAATTTTATTCATTTTTCGGAATTGTATTAAACTCGGCAACAAATCGTTTTGTAATAAATGAGTATCGCTCCCGCTGGACAAAAATATTTATTATTTCTTTTTCTTCTTTTAATTTTTATTTCTCTGTTTATTTATAATTATATCCAACAACATTTTGGTTTTTTTGTCGATGGTGGTGTTTTAACAGATTTTGATTTATCATTAACTGAAATAAGATAATGCATTGTAAAAAAATCATTCTGTATCCAAAAAAGTTTATTTATTGCCATTAACATTCCACGTTTACTTTTCTCATCGACCTTGTCTGCATTACATAAAACGTCGATTAGTAAATGTTCTAAATAGCCAAGTAATGCATTAATATGAGTATAATCAACATTGATCGACGCTGAACCCGCTAGATTTGTATGTATTTTTCCAATATGAGATAAAAATTGAAGAAATGTGTCATTCCAATCACGTTGTGTTAACACACGTTTTAAATACATACTTAACATATCTTTTCTTAGTTCCATTTGAGGTGATTCTAATGTAAGACCACAATTAGTTTTTGGTGAAGATCCTTCAAAATCTTCATTACGTACAACAAAATAATGTTTCGTTATATCGAAGGAGAATAGTTTTCTATAAATTGAATCAGCAATGACAGGTATAATAGGAAAAACAATAGGTGCAAATGTATTGAGCATCGCAATATCGTCCGATGTAAAATTTAAAAATTTCGATAAATATTCGAAACGACAACGAAGATCGCTGTTAAGCCGATTAGCATCAACATGTTCGGCCATAGTAAAGAGATGAATGAATGCCTGACTCAAGAATAAGTTAGTGACATATTTTTTTCCGAGTTCTTTTTTCCTTCTTGCTCGTTTCTCTTTTTTCATCGTTTCTCTCATCCGAGTGATGCCAATCATATCTATGTATGGATGCCTCACTTGGCATGATTTTTGATGTATCATCATTTTTTATAGCATGCTAGACAGATCTATAGGAGGCATTGCACGTAAGTCACGATCACCAATGCTCAATTGATCTCACCGATTTAGTTGATATTTTTACAGTAGATACCTACATCCAAGCTAGGAATAAACCCAAAGTTTGATCACGAACGGATGAGCTGTACTCGAGATAAACCACTTGATAGCATGAGTACTCAATCAAAATCAGACGTTTTTTTTATTGAAGTACTTTTCAGTATATTTTCATTTTCTCCAAGCTACAAGAGATATAGCTGAGACAT